ATAGATTTCCGTGCAGAAATCGCTCCTTTTTATAGTAGATAGCTTGTTATATAAAAGCTTAGTTAAATAGGCGCAAATAGGTGCAAATTTCGTTGAATAATAATAAAGTTTAGAAAAGTGGGTCCAAAGTGGGTCCACAGTGGGTCGCTCAATTGAATACTGAATTCTAATTAGTCAGAGGTTCAGCACTAAGCCTAAACAGGAATAGCGCATTCCTAGTAGGGTATAGTGCGTAGCATAGGGCTTGCAGCAACCGGGCTCATAACTGTCGGCCAATTGAGGGACCCTTTATAATATAATAGATATAATAGATAGAGCTTATGTAATCTAGTTGATTACTAAGCATAAGATAATAGGGATTCTTAAGGTATAATAGAAGTGACTTTATATATAGTATAAAATTGTATGTAATAGTATGTATTAAAGAGTGTAGTTGTAGAGGCTTAATTTCCTTTCTATCTAGTTAGGGGGAAGGAGGGTTATTTATAGGTAAATCCTATAGTAGGGCTGCCGGATTAGGCATAGATAGTGGCTTAAAATAACCTTAGAGGCTTAAAATAACTCTTGTGGCTGCTTTCCTGCTATAGCTAGAAGCAGAAAATTAATTATCTAAGCAACTACTTAATATTACAAATTAATTCAGCTATTTAAGCTTTATATTGCATTATATAGCTAATAAAGCTAGCAATATAATTTAGGCTAGTAATGCAGCTAAACTAGATTAGGAAATAGCGCTAGCAGCTAAAGAGCTAACTAAGCAAGCTTATATAAGCAGCTTTTTCTAAGGGGCTAAAGAGAGCCTATATATATTAAATTTGCCCCCTAAACTACTAAGATAGTTAGATTTAAGGCAGTATAAATTTAGCAAGGAATTTTAAAAAGCTGCTAAACAAGAATTTAGTATAAATTAGCAGCAAGAAACGTTTAAGTCTATTTAAGAAAATCTTGCTATATCTAAGGCTCTAGATACTACTTAGGTTTTCAAGTATAAGCTAGATAAATTCGGCTATTTAGTTAAGCTAAAAGCTAGATTATACGTTAGAGAGGACTAATAACTTTATAATAAAAAAAATACCTATACAGCTACTCTAGCTGCTAGAAGCTTTAGGCTTATTATAGCTATTTTAGCTAAATTTAACCTAGAAGCTATACAGCTAGATGCTATAAATACCTTTATAAACAGCCTATTAGACAAAATAGTCTATATAAAGTACTCTAGGGGCTTTAAAAAGCCTAATTGTGTACTAAGGCTATAAAGAGCTTTATATAGCTTAAGAAGGTCGCCTTTATTATAGCAAAAGAACCTTTTAAAAACCCTTATATTTATAGAGCTTCTGCAACTAACAGAAGAGCTCTATATTTTTACTAATAACAAAATAACTATATTTATCTATATTAATAATATAGTTTTTATCTTTAAAAAGGCTTATAATAATAAAGCAACTAGTCTTATTAAAAGGCTTAAAGAAATATATAAAATAAAGAACCTAGGGGACTTAAAATAGTTTCTAGGCATACAAATTATAAGGGACTAAGCTAACTAAAGGCTCTAGCTATCTTAAGACTTTTATATTAACAAAATTGCAGCAAAATTCCTTAATTTAATAGATCTAAAGAATATTTCCTACTATAAAAACTCTATTATTAATAAGGACCTTAAGCTTAATATAGGCTAAGCAATAGCTAATAATATATATTAATTTTAGAGCCTAATTAGCTCTATAAACTACGCTAGTGTTTAGACTAAGCTAGATATAGCTATAGCTTGCTCTAAGCTAGCAGAACACTTATTT